TTGTTCCCTTCTCAGAAGTCTCTCCATTTTGCCCTGTTACAAATACAGTGCTGGAAAGAGAATATAATCTTTCTTTCCAACTCCTAGGGTCACAGGATTCCTCTTGAACAGGTCTTAATGAGACTTAAATATTTCCCAAATGTTCTTATGAACATATATATGCATCTCTCTCTGAGGAGAAGTTAGGAAGCTCATTTCCAGCTTACCCTGATAAGCAGCATCTGTAGCCTTCCTCTTGACTTCTGCCTCCTCCTCCTCCATTTTTTTCTTTCTGTATACAGAACCAAAACCTACTGTCACACAGTGTCCACTTCCCCTTAGTTCCTCCTGCAGCTTACTGACCCCCACCCCATTATCTCCAGACAACAATGATCTGCCTCTGCAGACTCAGGCTCAAATCCTCTGAGGAGGGAGACAGAGTCCGGGAACGACACACTTGGCAGGAAATTTCACTTCCAGCTGACTATCAAAACAGAGGCGGCAAGCATGATGTTGCAAGCCATCACCGAGCTCTTCACTAAGAAACTCCAAAAGATGTTTTGTGCAAGCTGGTGCCCACCAGTCTAAACTAAGTCCACCCTCAGAGGCCAAAGCATGTGCCCAGCTGCGCTGGTTCTCTTAACCCAGCACACATGGAACAAGAGGTGGTTGACAAACACACAGCATTAGGCAGCTGCAATCTCAGAAGAAAGCGTAACATGGAAATAATTAAATAACCCACATCATAATCTCATTGCACAGCTCCTCCAGTCTGTTATCCATGTGTCCGGCCTGGATCAGCTCTGCATCCTTCTTGAGTTGCCTGTAATCAGAAAATCTTCTTTCTTACTTATCACTGAACAATAAGCCCTAAGCAGCATTTTCACCCCAAGCACCAACCCACTTGGGCCACTTTTTCAAGACAGGTCTCTCAGGTGCACCACAGCTTCATGCCTCTGCCACATACCTGTACTTCTCCTGTGTTTCTTTAATCATTTTCTTCAACTCCTCAACTCGTTCTGCAGTCAGTTTCCGCACAATAACATCTTCCACAGTTTCCACAACTTCTCCCTTCTCACCACGTTTTCTCCTACAGAGTAAGAGAAAACCAAAACTGTTCAGACATGAAACACAGAAAACCCCAGTTCTTTCATAAATGGCTGCTGTCTGTCATTTCTGCCATAAACACGCACAAAAGAATTAACCTCCTCTTCCAACTTCTCTTAAATGATAATTTAAGGAAGAACTTAATTTAAGGAAGACTTTAAGAAAGGAACTTCAGAGAAGATTCTTACTACCCACGAAGAAACATGTATTTTTTTTCCTCAGTAACTCCACTAAGTCTTTTGTCTTTGCAACTCTAGTGCTGAAGATCATTCAGCACTATCACAAACAAATACTACTACTGTTCATTTAATTTGATGTGAAGTCTCAAAACAAAATGCCTGGATTTAGGAGTGAGAAATACCTGAGACCACAAAACTGTAGTGATAGCATTGATAATAAAGCTGTAAGAAACCACTGCAAAATAAATACAAATATAAAATGTTTCCCCTTCACACTCTTGCTGTCTTTTCTACCCCTATTTTGAATGATTATTTTATGTGTAAAGCTTCTTATCAATAGGACTAATATGTACTCTTTAGTTCCAGTCAAATAAATGCTTGGTTTTGCTGCATTAAGTCCCCAAATGCATGCTGCAACTCTTAAAAATGGAGCTGTAGCAAAGAGGCCCCCATTACCCTTCCATGTATTGTAACGACACTAGGGGCATATGGAAGACACTAACAAGTACAAAGTGATCAGTTTTAGAACCACATAATACTGAAATACTTCTGTCTTCTGAAAAAAAGGAGACAAGATAAGGAGATATGGGAAACGTTCTAAGAAATACCTTGGGCTTGCCAATCTCCCCCATCTGCCATACCCTGATCCCACTGTCCACCCACGCCAGCTATCGTAACTGATTTTCCTCATTCCTGCACGCTCCTTTTGGGAGGAACACTATCAAGTCCTCTGCTGTAAGACAAGTCCACCCAAAATTGCTGCAGCCTGTACTTGCTTCAGACTTTGTACTCACTTAGGGGTCTCCGTAGTTTCCAAGAGCTCTGAATACTGAGATGCACAGTGCTAAGGAGAAGCAAAGAAAGTCAGAGGACACCAAAGAGTCAGCATCAGCAAATGCTTATCCACAAAGCCTACAGGGCACTTACTCTTTCAGAGGTCTAACAGTTCATGAATATATCTGACAGTCTTCTCCAGAGTTTCCCTCTGGCTATAACTTAGTGCAGCACGAAGTGAGGAAGCATATTCACTCTTTTGCTCTAGCACTGCCCAGGCCGATCTCCAAAACAAAGCTAAAGAACAGACGCTCCCAACTAACAATTTGAAAATCAAAGCAAGTAAGCATGTTTAGGAAAACTGTAGCCATAACATTTCTGTCTGTGAACATGAACCAAAAATATTTCAATGGAGAAAATGAAATAACACTGTATCAAGGCCAGTTTCATAGGTTAAGCAATAAAACCCCACCAACTTCTTCTCCCTTGATTCTCTGAATCTCTGTCCCTTATACAACAACAATCCCAGGTGCTTGCCCAAATAGCAGGACACACCAAAGTACATGGGCATCCACAAATTCCTGAGGCAAGGCATTCCATGGCTTAATTACAAGCCTGGTGAAGAACAATCTATTTAGGTTCGCTTTGAACCTGCCTCTTATTAGTCTTACTTAATAGCCTCTAAATCTTGTACTGGACAAAGCACTAACAATTAATGCTTATTCATCCTCAACTTCATTACAATTCTGATAATACAGATGTCTGTCATATGTCCCGTTACTCATCTCTCTTTTTTATGTTGAAGAGTTCTACCTCACTCAGCCATCCCTTACAAGGAAGCTGTTTCATGTCTTTGATCATCCTTGTCTTTTTCTTAACCTTATCCAACTGTACTGTAACCTCAAATTTAATTTCAGAAACAGAAGAAGTATTTAATCTGATTTATACAAAATGTAGGCATCTGTCTTACATATCCTATGCAGAACTCATTTTTTCCAAGCCTCAAAGGTCAGTATCTTACCTTCTGGGAAAACCAGTCCGGTGGGCGTCCTGGCTCTGCAAAAGGTTTGATAGCTCTGCTGACTGAAACCCTACAGAAGAGAAATGGCGAGACACCGTCAACTTTCTTCCGCAACCAACATGCAGAGAAAAGATGCTGACCTGTCTTGACACTCATCACTGAATAGCCTGACGACCACAGTGAACTTGCCAATGAGTTGTTATGTTTGGGAATTACTGTACAGCCCTTGGACTCAAAAGTATTTGCCTACTTCTAAACAAACAACAGGTTCTCTCCCTTGCTTTGAAAAGCAAGTTTGTAGCTTCTTATGACATCATTACATTTCCACAAAAACTTTACTTTGGTGAGAGTAAAAAGGCAGGAAAAGAGAGTGACAAGCGCAGAAGCAATGCACAGGAGTCTATTACCAAATATCCTCCTTGACCACAACTCGACTCTTCCAATTTATGTTGAAATAATGTTATTCTCTGTTCCGATTAACATACTTCTGTTTTCACATAGTAGTTACGACAGAAGCAAAAAGATTTTCGAGGTAGGCATCCAACACACTCATCTTTAAAAGCCCAACTTGGTTTTGAACAGAAAGCTCACAGAAAGTAGAAGCGCTTATGACTGGCTGTTGCACAGCGAACTGGCAGGGAGAAAAGCCATGCACCAGCACAGCACACGGCCCGTGCTCTGACCCGGGAGTCCCGTGCCCGTGCAGGCCCCAAGGCCGGGCCGTGGGTGTCATCCCCGCCGAGCCCCGCGCCCTTACCAGTTCTGGTCCCCGCTCCGCATGACGGACGAGGCCAGGCAGAGCTTCTCGCGGATGGACCAGGGCTCCGTGGGGCCGGCGCTCAGCAGCTTGTGCTCTGCCGGGAGAGGGGAGGGGAAGGACTGCACGGGCCGCACGGGCCCGCCC